TGTTTGATATTTTGGAACGAAAATTAAGCTCAAATGTATCAAGATTCACGAATAAGAAGCAAGAAAAAGTAATTATAAACAAAACATAGTTCAGTTAAATAGTTTGTTTAAAAGAAGTGACGCACGGGTTGTTACGTCAGACCGTACGATAATATAGTTATCCATATTATAACTATATTATGCATATTAGTTTTTTTTATTCGCGATGGTTTAACTAAAGTTTACGATATCACGGGAAAATCTACAAACATTGGCCAATCACGATAAAAGCCTGCTATGCCATCTGGAGCAAAATTATTCTTATAACCCGGAGCATTAACCTGGAGTAATAATAACCCGGAGCACTAACCTGGAGTACAACCTGGAGTATAACCTAGAGTATAACCTGGAGTACAACCCGGGGTACAACCTGGAGTGCAACCTGGAGTACAACGCAGAGTGCAACCCGGAGTATTAATTTGAAATATAACTCGGGTTGGTTGGAGTAAGGTCTGCACCATCTAATTTTAACCCAACCCACTCCACTCCACTCCATTAATAACCCTAATAATTATCAAATAATTTGTATATTATCAAATAATTAAATAATTTTAATAGCATTATAAAATAATTTGAATAACAAAATCTAATTAAAAAATTATAAAAAATAATTAAAAAATTAATTATTATTTATTAGCTATAGCAAAAGCAAGAGAGTATACTATATAAATACTTCAAATTTGTGATATTTTTAATTAACCTTTTTTTAGTTATTTTTTACTCAAAGCAGTTTGTACTATTAGATAATCAAATAACAAAACCGAAAGTGGCAAAATTATATTTCAAAATTTAAAAGCATTACTTAAGAGTATTAACTAAACTTTTTAAATAATACACAATCTTGTAATTAAAAAACTAAAATCTTTCTTTTTTAAAAAAAATCTTAGATAAAAAACTAAATCAGGTTATAAATATTAAATTTTAAACAATAAAGGCTCTAATAGAAAAATTTACTGGAAAATTAAGTCGCAGAAGTGTTAATAACATAGGCCTGTGCACAGCCATAAGTAGCATTGAGCGTTGAATCTGCAACAAAAACAGTAATATAATAACTTTTAGGTAAATCAGGAAGGTTTACCCTTGGTGCTTCTATTGAAAATTGAGTGTTATTCGGAAAAGATTGGCTAAAAAATTGATAATAGGGATCGCGTATGGGGTTTGACGTGACTGCGTCATCAAATGCAATTTCAAGAGCGGCTTGTCTTGCGATGACTTCATGGTTTAATGTTCCGGATACTTTAAAATCTGCGGTACTTTTACCAACAAGAGGGTCAGGGGCTATTACTACATTAATTAGGACCAAATCAGGATCATAAGGACAAGGGTTGAATTCAGTAGTTCTTTTATTAAGTTGAAATGAAGCTACATTTGCTGTAAGAAGAATAGCCAATAAACTGAATACAAAAATATATATATTCATGATTTCTTGTGAATTAGGTAGAAATTTTTATTGTTCTTTAATTCAGATGTTTTTCATAAGATATGATTATTGAAAACTTGATGTCCTTTTATAAGAAAGCAGTTTTCGAAATCCATAAAAAGCTCCATTTTGTCATTTTGAAAAAAACAAAAATGGTTAAATTTATTACATACATCTTCTGATCGACACCACTTTATAGTATACAATCATGCGATATTACAGTATTAATGCAAGTATAGTTTAGATGTGCGATATTTATTGCGATATACAAAATAATAAATCTTCGAAATTTATAGAGCGAAGTTTATATATACCTGAATATCATCCGATTGTGTAATTGTAAAGCGCAATATGATTTTATCAGCGGAAACTATAATCTCGCAATCAGACAACAATCATAGGTAAACTGTAATCTACAAAAGAGAGTATATAGTACACCAGTATAGTATAATTTCTCATAGTAAATATACAAAATGTATAATTTTTTTTTAAATTCAAATTATACAATATGT